TGTGTGTGTGTGTGTGTGTGTGTGTGTGTGTGTGTGTGTGTGTGTGTGTGTGTGTGTGTTCAGGGTTTCTTACCTACACTCGCATGCGCTGTGTTCTGTAAAACTCATGAAAATATCATTTTTTTGCCTCCTGGGATTAATTCTTTTAATCTGTAAAAGAAAGAGAAAAATAAGAAATACACGTTGGTGTGTCGTATTTCTAAATATCCAGTGTCCTTCATTGTTCCTCAAGTTAAAGTCAGGGTAGTAATATAATAGAAAAGGCAGATCCGAATGGATCCAAATGCACAGCTTTTGCATGCTACAATAGGGTTCAGTGCTCAAAGGTCACACCTAAGCAGCCTTTGAGCTATGTGCACTTGGACAGGCTGAAGGGGCTTTTTTATGCTAAGTACCATGAGGGCCCTGGGCTGGTCGGACAGACACTTGTAAAGCCTGTGCACCTTCTTAGCTTGACGTTTGGGCAAAAATAAACTGAATAAGTGTCCATATTTAGGATACAGACATATCCTTCTTTGGCATAACTGCCAAAGAAGAAAAAACAATATAAAAACACAAGTATTACTGCTCCAAATAACGTTGCTGACCTCCATTGTAACGTTATAAGTGGATGTCGGCGTGCACTGCAGCATCTCGTCGTTGCAGCAGCCGGCACAGCGTGTTAAAACGACGCATGACGGGATGAAGATGTGCTCCACCTCATCTGGATACTCCTGCAGAATTTCCACCAAAAGCTCCCGAGGTTGACACAAACTCTTGTTGTACACCTCCATCAGAGGGATCACTGGGAGACAGAGTAACAGTGCACACAGTTAGAAAATGGCAGAGGAGCCATAGTATAAGTGAGTCACTCCTGAACACACACACCTAAATGGGGATGTGAATAAAGAAAATTGGCAGGCTCACAACAAACACTATACACATAAACATGCACACACACGTTTTATGTTGTATTATTCCATCGAGTAGCGCTCGGTGTCTACCATCAAATACAGACTGGACTGACCTACTTTTACACACTTATGTAATTCCTCACTGAAATTAACAAGTACTCCTCTATGTTGTGTTTCCAACCCCTTTCACTTTTCACTTCAGGAGTGACGTTACCAACCCTCCAGCTTCACCAAAGGCCTCTCAGATAGACTCAAGAACCCCTTCATCAACACCAGCTCTTGTTTATTTGAGCTAATTAGATCCGGACTACTCTCAGCTTACCAATTAATCTGTGCAATTACTTTTAGCTTACCATTCATCGTTTAGAGAACAGTATCAACTTTTTTACCCATATTGGCTTACTTTTTCAGCTGTTCATTTGCCCATCTCACCTCTAAGTATTAACAGTTTATCTGTTACTTTATGTTAACAAACCTTATCCACATATGTGTGACCCTCAAATGTATTTACCACCCCTTCATATGTCAGTCAGCGATATCCTTCAGTCTCATTGGTAGTCTTTACCGCTATTGCCATCTACAGGTCAAACTTTTAGGTTATTATCTCAGCATCTTTCCAAATATCCATGTTAACTATAGAAGTATCCCCTAGGGTAGATGCACCCTGACTCGGAGTCACTGCTGTCTGACGTCATCACCTGCACTGAATATTCGCTGGTCTTGAATGTCACCCAATTTTTTGTATCCATATTGCCTAAAGCTGTAAACTAATAGCCTGTTGTGTGCTTTTCACCTTCAGTCTATTTCCCCCCCACACACCAACCTCCCGTCACTGAGTCTTTGCAGGAGTTCTGCTCTTGAGAAAGATGTTAGCACACAGACCGGCAATACCTCCAGAACATCACTCAGAGCATTGCTGGACCTAAAACAACCCCAGTCTGAGAACCCTCTGGGAAGCCAAACCAAACATGCTGGGCCTGAGCAACATCACGAAGTTCAGCTTCTGATTGTCCAATTTATGTTGGGCAATGCTGGGATTGTGCAAAACTAAACTTAAGGCCAAGAGGGTGACATTCCTTTCTATAAAAGACTCTGGTCTCTATAACATTTCACCAGCTTAACCTCAAACGAGGAGGAATGCTGTTCAACATGAATGTGTCCAACGGTAAGATTTAGAGATGAAACAGCTCATTTTTTTTAGCTTAAAAAAAAAAAAAAAAAAAAAAAGGGAGTCATGGTCCCGGATGACTCTCCATAGAGTCAAATGACAATTTTGTCCACTAGGAGGCAATAATTTGCCTTTAATGTCAAGGTGAAATTCAAACCAGCCCTTTGTTTTATTGGCTTTTAGCCAACCAGGGAGTCCAGCACAGACTGTATTCCCACGGTGCCCTGTAGGACACCTACCGTTATGTGGACCTCTTTCTGTTTCCCTCGGTATGTGGGCACTCTGCAAGAAAAAAGAAATAAAAAAAAGCACGCCGTTAGTTACAGTAGATTGTGCAAGAACTTAGCATAACCCTCTCCATGCCCCTTACTTATCCACAGTTGTGCCAAAGACATATTTACATTATGACATGGCTGTTGAAACATGAAAACCACACAAACATGCCTCTTATCACAGGCCAACCTACACACGGTATAGACTGCAATGACATTTTAAGGGTTTAAATATTCATAAGCTTTTAACCCTAATAACAATAAGGTTCTATAGAACATCAGCTGTTCATCCGAGGGGTAGCAGTTTTTCAAAATAAAACACCCGAAGATACAATTCCTTAATCAGCCTGCTCCTAGTCTAATTATAACTTATATGTATATGTGGTGAGGGAGGCCGTATATGGGCAAATGTTTGATCGGAGGCACAGCGTGTCAAACCATCTGACCTAAGTTCAGCCACATTAACGTGACCAAACTTCATAAACTTCAGGATTGGCTGTTTAGTTTCAGTTACTAGACCTTTATTGTTGTGCGGCTCCACTGCTTCCAGGCAGCACGGATTAATAACCGCTGCCATTAAAGCCGGCAAGAATTTCAGCCTGCTACTTTCCCCTCACAGGGGGGTAGCTGTCACCACACCAGTTGGGCCACAAAGGATTTTTTTTTGGCAACTTTCCATTCGTTCGTTACGCACAATGCCGTCTCGTCTTCACACACGCGCGCGCACAACCCTTCCCTCTCCCATTTTTTTTCACATAGGAGCACGCGCAACTCACGCAATATCTCACCAATGTTGCATGAGATACGGCCTGTGCCGAGTGAGCCGGCATTTGGCGATAAGAAACTCTTTTCTGTTTCTTAATGAAAGGAGAAAGGAGGAGGGAAGAGGAGGAGGAGGGGGAAAAGAAAAGAAAGAAAGGAGAGGAAAAAATGAAGAAGGTCGGTTTGTTAGCAGGCCCCACCCCCTTCTGGTGGCGTGAGAGGGTCCAACCTTGTGGGCCGAGAGACCCCAGCCCCCCAAAAAAAGCGCACTATACATTAATGTATGGGTGTCAAGCTGCCAGCACCGGCTCTTAAACCGAGTGATGATACATGCCGGCTTATAGACGAGCATTTTAGCCTTCACCCGCGTGCAGTCCAGTGTTGATTGAGAGGCCTAACTGTCATTAAGTGATCCAGTTAGTTCAATGAACACTTCACCGGACTCCAGCCTGCTAGTGCTTTTATTATGCCGGGGCTGAGATGCTCGCGAGAGGAGCTGTGTTGCCGCCGGAAACCAAAAGGAAGCAATGGGCTCTTTTGAAAGTGGTGTTACAAGAAAGTCCAATCATGTTACAGGAAAACGCGCAGCCTCCTACTGAGGTTGTATTTTTTTTTCACCTTGAAACCTTTGCTCAAAGCCATACCAGCAGTTGATTAATGATTATATAAAAACGATTTACAGTGGGCACTAAAGCGCCATTACAATCCCGCCGCTAGATCGGCTGATTAATCTCGGTTTGAGGGGGATAATTAACGTTCGGTCACTACTGGAATCAAGGGTTGAATTCCAGTTTGAGAACTGGAGCCGCTTCTTGTAGCAGAAAAAGCCAGAATGCCGGTAGTGAACCTGCTCACAAGTCCTAAATCAGAATGGAGCCACTGCGCCTTTAAAGCGTAATAATATCTCCAAGGTGGTTTTTTAGAGCAGGCCTGCAGTCAGCCAACGCCAAACTTAAGATGATTTTTCTGCGTTTTAATAAAAGAAATAAACACTTAGGGTAGGTTTACAGGATAAAAAAAGGCTGGCAACACCCGCCGAGTGTGTGTGGGTTATGTTTATACAACGCCACTTTTGCGTAATGGCTGTTTAAATCTCCTCAGAAAAAAAAGCCACAAAACATTTGAGCTTGTTTAAACACGAGCGGTGACCTAGCTAGAGGAAAGACAAGGACAAGCTACACATTAATGAGCAGTCCCTACATGGCTCAATAGATGTGATCTTTTTTTTCTTTTAAATTTGTTCTCTATGGGTCAGTTTGCTGTCCGGGGACACTCACCTTGACAGCTGACAGCGTCAAAAATAATAGTGTCAAACTGTCAATAAAGTTCATGGTGTTTGAAATCCAATCCAAGGGGGCAGACGATCTTTGTTTAGAAAAAAATTAAAATCAGCAGGCCAAATGTGGCTTTTTGTTCTCAAGCATGAAGTTCACAAGTACGACAATATACAAGAGGACCGGCTAAAACTTCTCTGAAAGGGCAGGAGGTTGTAAAAGCAAATCCATGCTGGTCCCAAGGATACAATCCTTCGCGTGTTAACTACTTCTTCTTTTTGTCTCAACTGTTGCCAATTATTTTCAAGATATCCAGAAACACGAGAATCCAAGATGCACAACGTCTCACATTGTTCCGCAGCAGATCTTTATTTTCTTGCAAGGGAGTAGCAATCCACATTACAGAAATAATCCCATGCTTGTTGAGCCAGGCGTCTCCAAGTGTCTGTCCATTTGAAACTTGAAGCCGTGGACGAGGATGATGTTCAGTGGAAAAGAAAACCGCGGTGTCAGTTTAATCGTGGCGAGCAACTTTTGTCTCTTTATCTCTGGCTGATTTATCTTTAACCCGGTATCATCACTCGGCTGTTGTCTTAGTGCGTCCTCTTCTGTCTGTCGTATAGTGTGGATAGATCGCGGTACGAAGGAAGTGAATGATCTGGTAGGTGTGTCCTATAGAGCTCTGCGCTAATAGGAGCCCAGAATGCCCCCACCAAAAAAGAAAAAAAGTGATCTTATATATGTGTAATATTGCATATAGGCAAATAGGCAAGATTTACAAAGGGGTTATATATAAAATAGACACATGATCAGTTTTATATCATTATATCTGCGTTGTTGTATCTGTCCTCTGTTCTACATTATGACCAATCCATCCCTTAAAATATCGTTGTAGAACTGTTATGTGACATTTCATGAAACTTCGTTTCCCCTCTTGGCCACAGCTGCCTTGAAAAATATATTTTAAAGTCGGTAAAACGCCTTCCATGTAAAAAAAAAAAAAAAGAATATGTAAAAGTCACTTTGGAAAAACAAACAAACAAAAAACAAAAACAAAACAAAAAACCCTGAATGAAGCTCCTACTGTGTGCCAGGTATGCTCTCTCTGGCTCAGAATGACTCGATATCAGTTTAGAGATATGGTTGATAGCTTATATGCAACAAGTCATTTACAGCAGCTTAAACACCACTAATCGTTTTTTAAAAAAATATTTTATTTTTAGTCGATTTTTAAAAATCATTTTTAAGGCAAATACCAGACATCGCGTTTTTTTGCCACAACACCTGTCTATTTGTACTC